ACAGCCGGAGTAACACCAGGGTTGACCACAGAGGTCACATCAGTAGGGGTTGGTAATCCAGTTGCCTCGGGATTCAAATCCCCACCAACATTAGCAGTAGCAGCAGCATCAGTGATAGTTGCCATTTTCTGAAAATTACACCAGAATATCACTTCTGTGTTTCTAGAAATTAAACTTAACCATTAGAAAATCCCTTAGAAGAAAAATTAATTCAAAAATTAGTCTCATCACAAAACCTAGAATCGAACATGGTCAAGAAAATTCCCAGGAAGACTGGAGGGGTCACATCAGTCCCACTTAAAACCCAGTTAACCTTTTGACAAAACTTTTAAGAGCATGTTGACTCCTAATCCGTGATAAACAATTTTAAGAATTAAATTTTCTTAGGGATGAACTAGGTTAAAACAAACCAAGGTCCAAAATTTTTACAACTAATGTAAAATGATTGCTACAATAATATAAGCAAATAAAACTTGCTACTACAAATTGGTAAACAAACTAACTACATCTCAAGCAAACATGCTTCAAACATTTAAATAAAATAGCCAATCATAAGGATTCTATTTAGTCCAAAAGCCTTTCCATGCTTAGGTATTCCTATTCAACACAAAAGTTAGTAGTCCAAACATTTTTATTTTTACATCCCAAATACTATTTATTTGGTTTTATGTTTGTTTTTCACATTGGTATCCCTACAAAGAAAGTTAGTAGCAAACCACAACAAAATACAAACAAATAATCTAAAAAATTTAATAAATTAAATGAAACCATCTAGCCAACTTTTAATTATATAAGTAACCAATGCATTAAAATGCCAATTAAATTAAAACTTTAAAATAAAGTTCTATACTCATGGGTTATGAATGAAATTAATTCATAATAAACATTTAAACTATTAACTCCAAATAAATAAGTTAAATTCAAAGTTAATGCACCCAATTAAATAATTCAGATTAATGCTCCCAATTAGATAATTTAGATCAATACACCTAATTAAATAGTTCACATGAATGCACCCAATTAGATAATTTAGATTAATGCTCCCAATTAGATAATTTAGATTAATGCACCTAATTAAAAAATTCACATGAATGCACCCAATTAGATAATTTAGATTAATGCACCTAATTAAATAATTCACATTAATCATGTACACAATTCATAAAAAAAAAACTCTATAACTCCAAAATACATTAAATTATGTGATCTAGCCTAGAAAATAATAAGCATGTAACAAATTAAAACTAGAATAGAATTAGCATGTCAAAATTGCAACATCCATAAATTATATTTTATAACCTTAAAATTCATGCAAATTATGATAGAGAATTCTAACTAAACTAAGCAATTAGAGAGTACTATTGCATAATTTACAATCATTGAAATAGTGAGCAATTCCGCAACAATTCATAGTAACATTATGCAAAGCTAACCTAATAGTCTATATAAATCTATTTGATCAATTTCATAGAAAATATATATAAAATCTGTTTAAGCTTGTTGTTCAAATTGTAAAATTAAATAAATAGATTTATGAAGAAATCAAATTATATACCAAGAACATATGCTGATAATTACAATTAAATTTCAACAAAAATACACAAAACAATAAAAGGGTAAAGAGACGAAACTGAAGCCTGCACGGAAGCAGTTTCCTTAAAACAGATTTCGCCGTCTCACGGGTTGAGTGCTTGAGGAATCCCGGCGTCTGTCTCACAGGATATGACGGTCAAAACCAACTACGGCAGAAGCACTTTCTGTCTAGCTTAGCGAACAAGAATAGTGGTAGCACTTTCTCAATGTAGAAACTTTCTGACAAATTGACTTGTAAAATAGAAGCAAAAAATTTTTATTTTGAAACTTGATAGGAGGGTCTCAATTTATACATGTAAAGGGGAGAGAAGAAGAGCCTCCAGCCTTTAAGGCTGGTCATTAAAACACCAAGTATCCATAGCCCATTTCCAAAAATATGAAAGTTTGGATGCCCAAATGATTCACACCTTTTAGCCAAGAAAAAGGATTTAAATACTCTTTAAAATCCTATTCATGAAGCTAACATCATGAGGCAATTTATTATTCAAAACCCAATGATTTTTGGCTCACTTAGACCTAACACAATAAAAGTTTAGGACCCACTTTTATATTTAATTAAAATTACCATACTTTAATATTAAATTAAAATCACCAAAAATCATTTTTTTCAACACTTTTTTGTTGAATAAGTGACAGAGAGAGGAGCATCACATAAAGATGAGGCCTAAACCCTTTTTAAGAATTTTGGAACTCTTAACCATCACTTCACTCAAGAAGCCCGTGAATAAAGAACATATATATATATGCATGGTTGTCAAAAGAAAAGTAAACAAAAACCATGTAAAAAGCCTTAACTTTGAGAAATCTAAGTCACGGTTCAAATTAATACCATGCCTACTCGTGGGAAGAATGACAAAGGCCCACTCGTATAACTTGTAAAGGTTCCTTTTTCCTCTACGTCAATATCTCAAAACCTCTACCATGTACTGTGCATCATTTGTATTCATTTATTTTTGTAATAAAATATTTATTTATCCAAAAAAAAAAGTGTCCTGGCGATAGAAAATTACTATGTACTCCAAAAAAATTTATATAATGTAAATTTAAACTTGGAATAAGAAAAATTAAACATAAGGACATATGATGACTTTGTCAAGTAAGTTCGACATATATTAATATACACATGGTATGTCTTTTTAATAGTTGTCTCTTATTTCAAGTAAACTGATTATGTATCTCTTTATTATTTGATGGGGGCCCTATTAGAAAATTTTTGAGGTTCAAAATTCATTTACACCAAATATGCGAAAAGGTAATTTTATAGATAAATTTAATACTTGATTTTCTATGATCCTTTCATTTTAAGACTTAAATTGTCATTAAGAATTGCAAATGCGACATCATTTTGTGTGAAAAAAATATTTGCAAATTATTTTTCTATGCATAAATATATACAAAGATATGTATATATTTAGTTTTAGTTATTTAAGAGTGGTGAATTTTGTGTGGGACGGATCTAGGACCAACTCCCGAGTAGGAACAAACCCCCGTGATTCCCGACGGAAAGGGTGCTGCAAACTGCCCCCTTCTTGCTCTCTCTCTCTCTATTTTCTTTTCTTTTTCTTTATATTGTATTTGGTTTGAAAATTTGTAAAGGGATTTAAAAAATAAAAAAAAAATATATGAAATTAAGTGAAGTTTATGTCTATTTTATTTATATTTCATTTATTTTTTCTTTTTTCATTTTCAAATTCATTTTCAAATTCTCTAACCAAATATAAGATTAGAATTTTGATTTTGAGTCAGCCTCACAGACAGCAAGGCATCCCCATAAATATTTATCTGTATCACCAGCATTGTGACTCACTGATTGTGAATGTTGATTTCTAGTTCACAGTCAACACATGCATATATATATATATATATATGTACACCTTTTTTTCTTTTTCTTTTTTTCTTTTCTTCTTTCTCTTGCAATTAGTGAAATAAGCATATATATATATATATATATATGTACACCTTTTTCTTTTTCTTTTTTTCTTTTCTTCTTTCTCTTGCAATTAGTGAAATAAACAGTAATTATTTTCTGTTTTTAAAATTTGTGTTCATGAACTCGAAGTTGTCCCCAAGCCATGTTGGATTTTTCTTAAAATTTTCAATCATTCAGTTGAATTTCTTGAAAGTCTTGGAATGCACATTTTTTGTTGAATATTCTTGTCCTCAATTTACTCAAATTTCAACTGAAGGTTTCGAAATTGCTCAAATCCAACATATATAGTATACAACCAATTGGGTTAATTCATCAATTGAAACAATATCACCAACCAATGAAAAATTTTACATTGGGATAATGAGAATTATGTGTTTTAGTTAGTGCGAGATAAATGGTGTCCACTCAATCTCATTTACGATTTTTTTATTAATCAGTAACAACACACGTCATCATTGCATCAAATATTTGTTCAAGGTTAGAATTCGAATCCAAAAAATATTTTGAATATGTTTAAAAAAGAATAATTAGGGAAAAAGAAAACCCTTAAGATGCTGCTCTTTTATTTTAAGATGTGTGATGTTGACGAAATTCAAAAATGGAATTAAATTTTATTTCTTGATCAAGCATGCTAGGACATAGTGGTCCCAAAACTTGGTTTTCCAAGTGAAGGGACAAAATAAAAACAAAGGTTTACTTTGAACTTTGTTTGGAGTCTCTGGACTTATTCCATAAACAAAAATCGACCTTGGACTTTGTAGCTCTATTGAAATTGGTAGAAGGTATAAATGTCAATGCTCTAAGACATTCGTCCATGCTCTTCCATATTTTCAATTTTTTTTTCATAATTGGATGAAATTACTGAAATGCCCATCATGTCTTTTGAATGATCAAAATTGTCTTATTAGGCTAATAAATTGAAAAAGTCTAAGAACATATAAATCGATCACACAATTAGATAAAATTGTAATAATTTTATTAGCAAGCATTGGTGTAAACTTCTATATGAAAATTGCTTTTCATGCATTAAAAAATTGCAAAAAAGAAAGAAAAAAAAAACAAATTATATTAGTAGTTTTTATACTTTATCTTTGTATTATTTTAATGCCTATAATTTCTATTGACTCAATTTCGAATCCAAATTTATGATTTTATCTTAGTTTGATTCAACAATTAATTACATGCGTGTATATTTATTTATGAAAAGTACATATGTGAGTTGCCCGTGTCATATTTCTTGAGACAAAATTATAAATTTGTTCAATTTAGTATTTGAGCTTATGAAACAGTATTAAACATCCATTAACAATAATGTAACCTATTAACCGGCTAACATTCTACTTTGATCAAAAAAAAATAAAAAATAAAAAATTCACACGATCCAACCATATTTCTCATAATATCATGCATGGATGCATACATACATGTGTATTGCATACATATGTAGAGATATACAAATCAGATGCATACAAATTTAGTTGCATAATTGTTTACGCGTCCCTTAAGAGAGAGAGAGAGAGAGAGGAGAGGGAGAGAGAGTATTCCTTTTTTTCTCAAGGTCTAGGGTTTCAGTTCCCATTTCTTATGCATAGAAACAGTCTCTTTTTTCCGAGCCTACTCCATGGAATTCTCAACCTAAGATTGGGTCTTTTCTTCTCTAAGAATATTCTTTTCTTTTTCACATCAGAGCAGAGAAGAGGAAGAAGAAAATAGAGAGAGAGAGAAGAAATAAAGCTCGGTCAAGCATGCTTGAGCTACCAAGAAAGCCCTAATTATCTATTAATCTTGCTTTAGTGTTAATAAATCCGCATCAGCGAAAATCATTTGTGTTAATTTTCTCTCTCTTTTGCCTCTAGAATTTTAGACCTTGACCTATAGACAAAGGGAAAAAAAAAAAAAACTAGAAAGGAAGATGGAGGGAAGCAGTGGAACCGAGTGCTCAAAAACAAGCCCATCAAACCAAAATGAAGATGAAGATGGGAGTAACAATGCGTGTAAAGCGAAAGAAGGAGCAAGTTCAAGCAACAGCACGGTTGAAGAGAGCGAAAAGAAGCTACCGGTGAGGCCTTATGTTCGATCCAAGATGCCAAGACTCCGGTGGACACCTGATCTCCATCACCGCTTTGTTCATGCTGTGGAAAGACTTGGTGGACAAGACAGTGAGTTCATGACACAACTTGAGTTGGTTTTTTTAGGCCTTTTTCAATCGATCCCTCCTAATTTGGCTCAGTTAATGGAGGTGTATGATGGTTTATTGTGTTCTTTTGGTGCAGGAGCAACACCAAAATTGGTTCTTCAATTGATGAACATCAAAGGACTTAACATCGCTCATGTCAAGAGTCATTTACAGGTTATTTGATTAACAAGATCTACATATTTTCTTGAATTGTTCATTTTAGTATGTACCGTTGTTTGCCTTTTCTAACCATAATTTTATCTTTCTTGTTCTTTTTTTGGTATGTTGCTTAGATGTTCAGAAGCAAGAAGATTGATGACCCCAGTCAAGGTAAATTCATATGCTAATTTCTCTTTTTCACCCTTTTGTTTTCAGTGGCCAAAAATTAGGGGCTTTTTTTTTTTTTTTTTTTTTTTTTTGGGTTTAAAACCTGATACATCAATCTGGCTTCTCCATAACAGTACTAGCAGATCATAGGCATCTTGTGGACGGTGGAGATCGAAATATCTATAATTTGAGCCAGCTCCCCATGTTCCAAGGATTTACACAAAGGCTTCACTCTAGTTTCAGGTATTTAGCAATACAAACATGACTCATGCTTTCCTTTTCCTTTTTTTTTTCTTTTTTCATTTCTTTTTCTTTTTTCATTTCTTTTTTAAAACCTGCATGGTGGCCCAATGGCCAAGGGTTACAGGGTAATTCTTGGAATTTTCAACTCTTACATGCGCAAAGACTTAACTGATATATGTAATTTACGTGTAATTGCACGTATTTAGAATCTTTATATAAAACCTAATATTATAAAAATCTGGATGAATAGCATTTTCCAAAAGAAATTAAAAAAGACTTCATGGTAACCAACATGGGGTTTTTTCATTTTAGTGAGTCTAATCTCACAATAAGATTTCCTCTTTTCTCTAGGCATGGAGATGCTTCTTGGAGTGCTCAAGAGAATTGGATAGAGAGCCCTTTCAGGGGGCGAAGTACGATTGATAACAACAAACCTGGATTTTATGGCACATTTGCTGAGAGAATCTTTGGAAGCAACTATGGCAGTTTGGCTAATCGCAATCTCCAGACAAGTATTCCTTTCTTCAATGAACAATCATTTCATCACTTTAAGTCCTCGCGCGAGCCACCAAGAATTGATGATGTCAATCTAAAACAAGCTTTTCATATCCAATTGCAAGCAAAAGATCAAACCAATCTTTCAAATAGCCCTAGTAGTTTGAATTTGAACACAACGAGTCTTCAAGAGCGGGTGGGAGTGAAGAGAAAGGCTTCTGATGTTGATCTTGACTTGAATCTATCTATTGGGCTAACTACAAGGATTGAGGAGAGCCAGAAAGGTCAAGAAGAAGAAAAAGAAGAAGATGAGAGTGATCTATCGTTGTCCTTGTATTCGAAGATTAGTAAGTTGAAAGAAGGTGGTGGTAAGAAGGAGAATAAGACGAGGACAAGTACTCTGGATCTGACTATATGAATGAGACAATTCCAAGTGAGATCTTGAGGTACTTGTCCTAACCTTTTTTCTCTCTTAGTTATCTTTGTACCCATCATAGGTATTATCCACCTCTTATCTTTTGTTTTGTTGTTGATCCCCTTTTGTTTGCTAGACCTAGCTAGTTACTTCACTTACATTGGTGAGTAATGTTAGTAAGAGATAGAAATCATCAATCCATTATAGTTCATTTGCAAGAAGTGGGAGAATAAAGAAAATAGAGAGTACAAAAGGGTTTAAATTCCATCAATCACAAAAAATAAAAAAAGAGTTTCAAGTTTTTTGAGAATTACTATATATTATTGAAATATTTCAACAAAACATCTCATTTCTTATGTAATTTTTCATGTGGCATGATAGGTTTCATTATTATTATTTTTTTAAGGACAAGGATTTTCTGAAGTTCAAAATCTGAACTCAACAATTATGTTAGGGCTTGTGGGACTCATCCTGTGTCTTGTTTCAATGATTTAAACTGTTCATTTTGTAAGGTTCTCTGTATATATCACTCTTAAAAGCTTAGGCCAAATCAATAATTATAACATTTTCATTTTACAGAGTTTGTTTAAAAAAAATAAAAAATAGATGGTCTATTTGAAAAAACATACTTGTTCATTCTTTTGGAAACCAATGTAATAAAATGAAAAGATTGCGATTATTGCATAAACTTAATTGTTTTCAATGAATTTTATACATAGATGAATCTAACAATTTGAATAAATAAAACGGACACATAGTAGGCCCCAGGAGTTTTAACATGATGGTCAAGTTCAGATTTTGAACTTGAAAGAGGCTAATCTTTTTTAAATATGATAGATTTCACATGTAGACTTGATATATGTTGAATGAATACACGTACGAGGTGAAATAACGTAATAAATACAATAATAAATATAATTATTATTTTTGTAAACAAAAGGAGCACGAGAAGACCTAGATATAGAGCACAAATCCTCCCCTTGCACTCCCTCTTTGTAGGGCCTTCGGGCCCACTTGTAGGCTCAATTTTGATAATACGAACCGTTCATATTTTAAGATTTATTCAGTATATCATACCTGTAAAAAATCAAATTGATCGGATATCAGAAAATATGTGTTCAGAAAAATCGAACTAAAAACTATTTTTTTAAAGAATTTAATAAACAGTTTTCTGAATAGATGCTTTCTGATATCCGTCAACTTGATTTTTTACAGGTATGATATACTGAATAAATCTTAAAATATGAACAATTCGAATTATCAAAATTAGGCCTAAAAATGAGTCCAGAGCCCTTACAAAGAAGGAGTGTAAGGGAAGGATCCCAATTCCTAGATATATGGGACATCTCAACTCCAATAGCTGTAGTAAATCGGCCTACAACTGGGCTTTATGAGTTCATTTGAGAGGGGGCAATGGATATTAAAAGCATTGAACATATAGTGCTTCATTAAAATATATAAATTTATGTGTCTCTTATTTCTAGGGTTTCAATATTTGGCTGCATAGGATCTATTCTATCATATATGTGCACTTTTTGTTTTTTAAGTATGCATGTCTTGTGAAGAGTAGGTAATTTATAGAGTAATTTTATACAAATTATTATTATTATTTTTATAAATAATTTTTACTAACATAAGTTATTCCTATCATCCCCATAAAAAATAAAAATAAAAAAATTATTCCTATCATATTATTTTAGTCGGTGTCATTTCAAATTTCAAATTTTTATGATTTCATGACCCTTATATTAATAAAAACAATAAGATTTGTTAATTTATATTAAAATAGTTGTACATGTAGTAACTATTGTCTCTTTTTAGCTTCCAAATTTAAAAATCATGAGGTTGGAGATTGGTTGTGTGGATAAGAGTTGCAATAATAATGAATATGTTTGCTCTTGGAATCTCTCTTTGCCAATCAAAAGAAAAAAAAAAAAAAACTATTGCCCCGGCTTTAATGAAAACCTATGCCAGTAGATGGTGAGATGGATTTCTCAGATTAGACGGTTCTTAGGACCAGATACCAAGTTCTCAAAATATGGGTCCCCCAATTTACTATTTATCTTCAAAAAAGCCAGGCGCCATCTTGTATGCCTATCTAGGGATGTTTGAATACGAGAATTTTCTGAACCAATTGTCCACATATCGATGGTTAGGAAATACACTAAAACTCCCCTTTACAAGATTTAAATTTTTTTTTTCTCCTTGATTCTTTTAAACAATTAATCTCCATCAAATAAAAGTTTATAAGCAATTTTTGGTCACTGTGCTAAAACGTTAACTCCCATCTATGCATATGGGGATTTTGACAAATATGTTATATTTGTACTGGATATTTATCGGTGTATAATATTTCGTATGGTACTTCTATATACATATCGGGTACACGAAATACGTACCCAAAGTTTTTTTTCTTAATTTTTAACGTACCTAGTATATATCTAAACCGCACTGTATCTCAATCGAAATAATATTTTTTTCTACTATAGAGATAAAATTTCTTTTACTATACTTCTTTATTGTTTTTAGTTTTATACTTAACATGATTTTAAAATCAAGTTATGGTTTGCAAGTTATTTAATATAATGATATTTAATTTTAGTTTATATCGTTATTTTTGACATTAAATGTTAATTGCAGATTAGATCTTAATAAATTAAACCATTTAATCAATTTTTGCATTACTCTAAATTTAAAATAAATATATTTTTTAAAGTGTGCCAAGCCATACCCGTACCTTAACTTTTTTTGTATTTTACTGTATTGACATACTTATATCATACCAGTATTTGTATTCGTACCTGTACATGTGCTTCATAGACTCCCATGCATATGCAGGAGAGAGAGAGAGAGAGCTATGGTCTATCCTATCCTATGTGTCAAATTTTCTTTCATAGTTGATTGAATGTTCAGTTTGATATAATTCTCATTATATTTGTAATTAATTTATTTGATATAATTTTCATTATATTTGTAATTAATTTATCATACGGATTAGAAAAAAAAAACGCCAATTGAACCGTTGCTGAGCTCGATTCATATTTTGCTTAATAGGTTTCAGAGTATACAAAGAATATATATGGAGAGAATCAGTACCTCTTCAGCTTGGAAGTGACTTTTGAGTTTATCTTCCAACTCTAGAAATTGAATCCAAGATCCATCACTCGCAAGAATTCTACAAAATCAATATTTTTTGATTAGCGAAAATGTTATGCAAGAACTTGATTTCACTCACATAATAAATAATAACAATAAAAATAAAAGCAGACTTTAGGCGACTAAGTGTTTGATAGCTAAAAATAAAAATAAAATGGAGAAAAACTTTTGGCTACTAAAAGCAGACTTTAGGCGATTAAGAATTTAGTAGCTAAAAAAAATAAAATGAAAAAAATAAAAAAATAAAAAGATGAAAAAAACCTTTTGGCGACTAAAACTTTGGTCGCCCTGGATACTTCAAGTTTTGGCGACCAAAGTTTTAGTAGCAGAAAATAAGATTTTTGGTGACTAAAATTTTATTTTGGACGACTAAAAAAATTAGTCGCCATTTATAGGACTTTTGACGACTAAAAAATATTTAGTCGCCAATACCTTCCCCGACAAGTTTTCCGCGACCAGTCTAGCGACCAAAATATTTAGTCGGGTAAAGCATTTGGCGACTAAAAATTGTACTTTTAATGACTAAAAATTTAGTCGCTTAATGTGCATTTTGTTGTAGTGTACACACATAAATACAAGATATACGTAATTCGGTGAAATGTCTACATCTACGATGGGGAAACGATCTTGGTCTTGCCATCTTGGCTTGAATTTTGCTTTTGATTGGCTTGTTGAGTTTGCTAACCTTGTTGGGATATTCTTCTTTGAGCATCGATATTCATGATCAAAAATTAAACTCAATTTTTAAATTTAGTGATGTGACAATCAATTAGGATATTAAAGATAACACTTGCTTTCATATATTCTCTAATTATCAACCAATTATATCACTTACCCATCATTAAATCTAGAAAATAAATCTAAAAAGTAAATTTATATATCATTTTCCTTCTTGTGAAGCTATGCTTTTATCTTGAACCATTTTTATTGATGTGATTTGATTATCCTATTTGTACTTAAAAGAAAAAATTCATTAATGCATCACAGCTTGAATGAAAACCATGCTCGCATTTTTTATTTTTTTTATTTTTTTAAACATATCCAAAAAAAGAAATCCAGGCTCACTTTTTTTTTTTTGAACTGAAATCCAGGCTCACTTGTGAAAGAAGAATCTGATACAAATGGTACTTCGTCAGCAGAGCTTAGCTTTCGGCTCTTTGATGTTATCATGAGCTTCAACCCTAATAACATCAGTATCATCGGACGGTTCTGATTCGACTCCGGTGGACTCATAGGATCTCCCCAGTGAGCGAAGCTGGTGGTGATCAGTCACCACTGGTTGATCGGCATAGCTCGGTGGTGACTGCCGGCAACAGCCGTATCTTGTTCATATCTTCCGTTGTCACTGTCCAAACCCTACAAAACAAAGCATACCATCTCAGTTTGACATGAAGAAAAAAAAAAAAAAAAAAAAAAAGAAGAAAGAAAAAAAAAAAAAAAAAAAAAAAAATTAAGAAGAAAGAAAAAGAAAAGAAACCCTAAAATATGAAGACAACCATATTTCCTCTGCTTGCTCACCTGGGAGAACTATATATATTATACATGTATGGACATGTATACAGTTTTTGAGATTTATTAAAATATGAATTAGTCTCTATAGTTTTGAAAATTATAAATACTCCTATAAAAAAATTATTTAATAGATTTAACTAAAAAAATAAAATTTCTAACTACTCTTATATGCAACAACAAAATTATCAAAATTATTAATTGAAATATATTTATGATATCATTAACAAATTTAATTGACTTAATGATTTATTAATAAAAGTGGTAATTCGTTATGCGATAAAAAATTTGAAGGGACATGATGTATTTAAAAAAATAAAATATATCAGCAAAATAAAGGAAATTTTATTAATAAAATAGACATATACATCATATGAGAATCTATTAATAAAGAAGAGGAAGTGCAAATAGTATCAAACTATAACTACTCGAGCATCAAAGTAACTTTTAAAATTTTATGGGACAACTCATATTTTAAATAAATTTTAAAGGGATTATTTGTAATATACTTTTATTTATATATTTAATTTTTAAGTATAAACATAGGTATATCCGTCCTTGTGATTATTCATTGGTAAAGTGACTATAGGGACAACTAAGTTGTACTATATATAACAATGACAACTCTTAAAGGTCCTCATTTCTATTTACAACACTAGGGGTGAGCATGGTTCGGATTGGATCGGATTGGGATAAAACCAGGATCAATCCGTTATTTACGGTTTCTGAAAAATTGGAACCAATCCAATCCGTTTAAATCATGGAACCAATCCGAACCAATCCATTTAAATACGGATTGGATCGGTGTAGGACCACAGATTCACATAATTAAATAACAAAAATATATATATATAACACTTGAATTTCATAAAAATATAAACATTACGCTATATTAGTTCCATAATAGCAATATATTTTTCTATAATAACGACATACTGTTCTATAATTTAAACAACCATAAGAAAACTGGTTTCACCATAAGTATTTAGACCATTGCAAATTAAAACTTAAAACTAACAAACAAAAGTAATAAAAGAAGATATTATACGGTTTTAGGTTTGAGTTTAGAATTTATATAGAATAAGAGAAGATACTATGGGGGAGGTTGTATAATAAAAATATAGACTATTTGTATACGGTCCGGATCGGTTCCAATCCGGAACCATGAGATTCAATCCGGAATCAATCCGTGAACTACGGATTTTTAATTCTTCAATTCGGAACCGAACCGCGGATTCAAAAAACCAATCCAAACCTATCGGATTGGACTGGACTGGATCGGATTACGGATTTCACAGATTCCTTACTCAGCCCTATATAACACAGGAAAAAAAGGTAGATAGAATTTAACTATATTAAAATATTAAGAACATTCGTATGGGTATAATTTGTGAAATTCATACCTAGAAGTTTCTATAGATATTAATGTGATTTTTATTTGCCTAAAAACGCAGTGAAATTTCACTAACATATATTACAAGATGCTTTGTGAAACTCGACAAATTTTTCTCCGACATTTTATATTGATCAGGGATCTTATTTGATAGATAAAAAATCTTTGAAAGTAAAACTTTGAAATAATTTTTTTTTAATTATATTTTTACATTTTAAAATCATTCAAAAAGTGAAAGTGTTGCATGTTGTAAGCGTGGCCATGGGTATATTTCGATTAGAAAATAGCCTCAAATTATTAGACTAATGTTTTTTTCTTTTCTTCAATGTCCTTGCACAATATTGTAATGAGGGAGATATGGCCGAAACTTCCAAATTTCTTAAGTATAGTATAGGTGTCATTTTTCACTTTCCTTCTTTAAAGGGATACATTTTTTTGAGTAATTTTTAGTTTTTTATTTTATTTTATTTAGGCATGGAATAAAAATGAGAAAACCCCAACACTAGCCAGAAACAATGCGAAAAGAAGAGTTTTTTTCTTCCCCTTTTTTTTCCTCGGATTACTGATGGTGGGATTGTCTTATTTAATTCCCAAGTTTAACAATTAAATTTCAAAATTTTGGTTAATTAAACAAATTCAATCCAAATGAGCACAACAAAATACGGTTGGAAATTTTTTTACAAAAAAAAATAAAAAAAAATCATAATGGCGGACTGCAAAATGAAATCATAATGGGGGACTGGTAACAAAAGCAAACCAAAAAAAGAAATGAAATCATAATGGAGGACTGAAAAATGAAATCATAATGGGGGACTGGTAACAAAAGCAAAAAATAAAAAAATAAAAAATAAAAAATGAAATCATAATGGAGGACTGGTAACCAGCTGAGCTAAAAGGCCGCACATTGTTAAATTTTATTTCTATCATAGATATCATATATTTAGATCCCAAACATGGCTTAAATTTGTGTCACATTCAGTCTTTTGCAAAATCTGTGAGTCCTTTGCGTTTTGTTTGGCAAGTAACATTTTATTACTAAAAAAAAAAAAAACTAGAAAAAGGAAGAAGAAGAAGAAGAAGAAGAAGAAGAAGATACACAGAGAAACTCAAAATTGTTAGGATTAGGCACATTCAGAAATCAACCACACACAGAAATGAGACATAAGAAATTTACGTGGTTCGGTAATAGTTTACGTCAACGGACAGATATTTCTCACTATAGAATCATCCTGGAGGGAGATTACAACTCACATCTCACAACCTTCTATAAAATTCACTTTCTTACACAGATTATACACTCTGTGTTTGTTGCTCACACACTCTCTGTGTTGCCTCACTCTGTGTTATTTTTGTTCCTTTCCTTGTAACCTCAATTTACACAGAAAAGAGAGGGAAACAAAGTCAAGAAAAAGTTATTGAGCATGGTCTGCCACCTGCCAAAGATCACACTTTGACAAAACTTAAAAAGTGTGATTAAATAACATAGGTCACACAAAAAAAGTGTGATCTTTATTTGTTTTTGTAGTAGTGTCTTCCCTCTTCCTTCCTACTCTTAACTTGGAGCCAACCTTCATTAACTCCTCAATGTGGGTTGAAGCTAACAATTCTCCCCCTCCATGTCCATATAGATAACTGACTTCTCACTTGAAGTCCATCCCGGTCAGATTTTTGCAAATTTTTACTTTGTCTCTGGTGACAACCTTGGTCATCATGTTAGAAGGATTCTTGTCCGTGTGAATCTTCACCAGTTTCATTAGCTGCTTTTCCATCACTTCTCGTATCCAATGATACCGGACATCAATGTGCTTTGCACGTGAATGGTTCATGGAATTCTTGCTCAGATCAAATGCACTCTGACTATCACAATGTACCTTGTATTCTTCTTGCTGTAGACCTAATTTTTGGAAAAACCGTTTTAACCACAACATTTCCTTTCTAGCATCTGCAGCAGCAATGTACTCTGCCTCTGTTATAGATAAAGCAATACATTTTTGTAGTTTGGACTGCTATAAAATAGCTCCATCTGCAAAGGTGATTAGAAATCCTAATGTAGATTTCATACTATCAAGATCACCCGTCATATCGACATTTATAAATCCCTCCAAAATTGGTTCAGCTCTCCCAAAACATAGACACATCTTTGATGTTCCCTTCAAGTACCAAAGAATCCATTTGACCACCTCTCAATGCTCCTTTCCTGGATTGGCAAGGAATTTGCTCACAACGCCAATTGCGTAAGCTATATTTGGTCGGGTACACACCATAGCATATATCAAACTTCCTACTATAGAGGAATAAGGGATTGCCTCCATTTCTTTTCTTTCAAAGTTGGTCATGGGACACGAATGCTTTGTCACCTTAAAATGGTTAGTCAGTGGTGTGCTAACTGTCTTGGCATATTTCATATTGAACCTTTCAATCACCTGTTCAACATATTCTCCAGTGACAGCCATATCTTTTTGGCTTTCCAGTCACGAACAATCTTCATGCCTAAAATCTGTTATGCTACGCCTAAATTCTTCATGTCAAAATACTGCGACTAGTCTTTTTTCAACTTGTTGATCATAGCAATATCTTGTTCGATGATCAACATATTATCAACATACAACAGTAGGATAATGAAGTTTCCATTATGAATGAATTAATTAATACTATGTTGATACACATTGGTCTGTTACTGTTGGAAGTATACATATTATCAACAAGAACTTTCAGAAGTATACACATTGGTCTGCTACTGTTTCGAAAGTATACATATTATCAACAGATTTATTATCAACATTGCTACATATTATCAACGAGTTTCGGAAGTATACAAATTTATTATCAACTGTTTGGGAAGTATACATGGCTACATATTATCAACGAGTTTCGGAAGTATACATATTATCAATAAGAACTTTCGGAAGTATACACATTGGTCTACTACTGTTTTTTTGTACTCGTGATCCACTATGAATGAATTAAACTTCTTGTACCATTGTTTCGGCACCTGCTTTAGGCCGTAGAAACTCTTCTGCAGTTTGCACACTAGATTCTATTTCCTTTTGACTTCAAATCTTTCTGGTTACTCCATATAGATCTCTTCTTCCAAATCACTATGGAGAAAGGTAGTCTTGACATCTATCTGTTCTACCTCCAGATTCAAGCAAGCTGCTAATCCCAGAACTACTCAAATGGAAGTCATCTTCACAACTGGGGAAAAGACCTCATCAAAGTCAATTCCCTTCTTTTGCCCAAAATCATTGACCACCAAACAAGCTTTATGCTGCAATAGTTTACTGTTGCCATCTTTCTTTAACTTATATACCCATTTGTTCTTCAAGGCTCTCCTATCTCTTGGAAATGGAACAAGCTCATAAGTGTGGTTCTTCTGCAAAGAACTCATCTTCTCCTTCATGGCTTGCATCCAACAGTCTTTCTCTGTATGACTCGTTGCTTCTGAAAACTCTCGGGCTTCCCCTCATTAGTAATCAAAATATATTAAGAAGTGGAATATTTGGTTGATGGTACGACAGCTCTTTTATATCTCCCCAACTGAGGCCCAGTTGCCTCTGGTTGAGGGGGTTGCTCCCCCCTACTCAATACCTTCTTTATTTGGGTCTTAATCTCTTTCCTCCTGATCCTCAATTTCTGGCATATGATCCTACAACTCTGGCACTTCTTGTTGCACATCATC